TTCATCTTTGGACATAGGTGTTTTGGATTATATCGGCATACTATAACATAAGGAACACCCTCCCGAAATTTGGCACATTCCTCCTGGGACACCCTGTATATATAACATTCATCCTTAAAGGTTAAAGAATCCCCCCACCTTGTTAAAGAATTGTCACTGTGTCACAGCCCTGTTCTTATCCATAGAACTGCTGTGTGTTATCCCTCAGTCCATTATTTCATTTCCTTGAGATTTAGAACTTGCAATTTTTATGTACTCATATAATTCATTTTCTTTTGAGTCTTTTATATGGAATTTTTCCTTTTTTGTAGTTTCCATGAATTGATCTTAATGTTGGGTAGTTGAAATATCTTTGAAATTGCTGTGTGTTTTTAAATATAGGAGAATGGTCGAAATGGACTAACTACGAAAAAAGCTCGTGAAAATGGTGAAGGTGGTCGGGATGGATTAGTGTACTCTTGCCTGCTGAAGAATGAGCTTCTTGGTGCTGGCATTGAAGATGTGAAAGGCCAGTGTGATGAGAGAAGGGCTTTGGTCCCAGTTGAAGGATCAAATCTCTTTCGGGTATGGCAGCATTACATTAGTATATATAATTCAGGCAATAATAGTGTTTATATAATTACAGTACTTAGATATATTTTTGCTTAAAGAGTTTTATCATCTGCAATATTGCGCTGCATAGGCCGATGAAAGCCAACCAACATTTTGGAGGAACATATCACCTCCATCTTCAGGGTTTCAGAGTAGGCAAGCATTGAAGCATCAGGAAGTATGCACCAAGCTATGTATACTTTTCAACCATGATGATAGCAGTGATATGTTCCTCCAAAATGTTAATTGGCTTTCGAACTACATGGTGTTATATCTCAGAAGATAGAACTCTTCATAGATACCACTGTGAGAACTTCAGATCCATCATATTTTTACTTGTTTATTCTTTGATGTTGGTATAAAAAAAGGCAAAGTTGTCCTTATGCTTAACTAATTAAGCACTACACCATGAAGCCATATGGGGGAGTGGATGTATAGAGTCACAGTTTCTTGACCTCAGCACTAGTTGGAGGTGAGTGGTCAGCTTCACACCCCTGTGCTTTACCTCCCCAGGGGGAAGAGCCCTCAGAACCCATTGGATAGGAGGATGGGAGGGCCCCAGAACCAGTCTGGACAACATGGAAAAAATTCTTGACCCTACCGGGACTCAAACTCTGACCCCTCGGTCCTCCAGCTCATGGCCAGTCACTATACTGATTACACTATCCAGGCTCGGTTGATGTTGGTACGCTTAATTTTATTTTGTAGTATATTTAATGTTCTGTATCAGTTGCAGATGTTATGTACATTCATTTGAGATGTGACGGTAATAAGAAGTGGTAATTATGGTGTTAAATAGGAATGCAGTAGTTAAGGTCACATTATCGTGTAACCGCTATGGAAAATGCCTGCCTGAACAGTCAGTGACCCTGCTGAAATAGGCCTGCCCACTAGTCTGGTGTGTTTTGCAGATATGCTTGAGTCAGTTGTGAGTGATGTTGGGACTGCCCCATTGCCATACTGTTTGGTTTTGTGCACCCACAATACTGATGTAGAATAAATAAATGTTTCTGAATTTTCACAGAACCTCAGACTTAATACACTGTAACTGTTCTGCAGATAGGTAACTATTTAAAACTTAATGTGGTGTCATCACAACTACAAATATGCCTAACGTAACTCACACTGGTAGATATCCAAGAACTGTCAAGGCATGGCTGTGGGTTAGTTGTCATTGATTAAAATATTTGCAGAAATGAGTCAGAACATAATTTGTTATGTTATTATTTTTGTATGTGAATTATTTGATAACGTATCAATTTAGCTTTTATCTATCATGGAAGCAAAATTTGAATGAATGTCAGACGAGTTAATACTGTTGGTTAATTGAACCTTCATCTCTCGTCCATGGATCCATACTGTGACATGATAACTGAAAGAGGCAGCTGTTGCTACGTTATGGTTTGTTAACACATGATGACATTAAGCAACAGTAAACGACTCATGACGGCGTGTTTTCTATATGGTGGGCACCGTTTTCTGTGCGATTCAACCTGAGGCTATATTACGAGGACCACCAAAGGCCAGAAGCTGCAACAGGGAGTCTACAGTTGAGTTAGTCAGATGTGAGGCATTCACCACCTGGTAACAGTGTGATCTGAAGAAGACTTTGTTGGGGTCCATTACCAGGCAGTAGCTAGTGAAGACATCATGTGCTGTAGTCAGAAGTGTAGAGCATGAATTTGCAGGAGTGTCATAATTACTTGTAGGTACAATTTATAAGTGTCAGTACATCTAAGCACTAATACATACCCCACGTCTAGACACTAACACGTGGCAGTACCATTACAGAATGAGCAGAATCCTGTTTGGCTGCGGTGCAAGTATGCCATCATGTCCAGCTGCAGCAGTAATGGTGAGGATTGGAGAGTTTATTACAAATTGTGGTTGATTAGGGGGCATTGTGATAACACTGACTTAGGAATGAGTGAGTTTGACAAAAAGAAATCAGATCCATCAGACGAGTTCGTTGTTTTAAATGTAGGTAGATCAGATATGTTTAGTGCTATGTGCATTTTAAGTGGATATCTGTTATTAAATGTATTCATTTGTTCTTACAGTACACATTACCAAATCGGAGTGGAAATGGTGTTGGTGGTGACACATCGTCATTGGCTTGTTATTCTTTGTCACCAGTTAGTGCAAAAAGCCAGAAGTTGCTTAGGTCTCCAAGGAAAGCAACACGGAAAATATCACGAATACCCTTCAAGGTACTGTTATATTTGATTCGTGTTATATAGTTCATATATTTTTAATTTTCAAAAATTCACAAATGAAGTTTGCTTACACTGCATCCTTAGTTCTATGTTCAGTTTTCCTCTAATCAGCAGTGAAAACTGGCAGAGCTGAGGTGATGTTACTCTGAGTTGATATTGACAGTATGCTTTTTCTTAAAGGTGCTGGACGCCCCTGAGCTGCAGGATGACTTCTACCTCAATCTCGTCGACTGGTCTTCACAAAATGTATTGAGTGTGGGCTTGGGAAGCTGCGTTTATCTTTGGTCTGCCTGCACTAGCCAAGTCACAAGGTTGTGTGATTTATCTGTAGATGGTAACTCTGTAACTTCAGTTGCATGGAATGAGCGGGTAAGTCACAATTCCATGTCTTTCTTTTAGGTAGGACAGTAAACTGTATCTCTGTTAAATTTGAATTTGATTATTGCTTATGTTGCTAATTAGTACATGTATGAAAGTGTAAAGTTAGCTGCTCAAATCAGTCATTAATAAGCTTAATTATGCATTATATATTTATTTGATACTTTTTTACTTTTGTAATTTCCTCCATTGCATAACCCCCCCAATGTTAGAGAGAAGTAAGAGGTTATTTTTGCACTAATGAGGGATGTTTATGCTGCAGTCTCCCATCCACTTCCACATCCCCACCCACTGGACTGATGGATATATCTGATTCAGCAAATTACTGTTCACCTTTCTTTATGTGTGTATAAGTAAATCCCAATTGGATAAGGGTTTACTATATTTGCTTATTGCTCATGTACTAAAATGTCATGCACATTAAGCAGTGTACACAGAGGGCATGAAGTATGGACTTCAAATACAGTTTCTTACGCCCTAGTATATCAGTCCTGTGCTTTGTCATGTGGCATGGGGTCTTGAATCATTGAATGTATAAGAATTTGCTGAAGCATTGTTGCAAGTTGTGATGTACTGTTGCTGAACAGCTTGCATAAGTTATCAGTTCTAGTATAGTTTAGGATAGGCTGGAATTCTTACTATTGGATGTCTTTTGTAATTTGGTGTTGCATTTATAGGGAAACCTAGTAGCAGTTGGAACACATCATGGCTATGTGCAAGTCTGGGATGTTGCTGTAAACAAACAAGTTAATAAGATGCAGGGCCATTCGGCAAGAGTGGGTGCCCTCGCATGGAATGGAGATGTTCTGTCATCAGGAAGTCGTGATAGACTTATTTTGCAGCGTGATGTGAGAACACCAAGTCTTGTCGCTGAAAGGAGATTAGTTGGTCATCGGCAAGAGGTTAGTAGCAAATGATTGGTCTCTTATTAATAGTTGTCAACACACATTGGTGCAGTTCACCAGTCTGACAAAAAATTTGTTCCTCCAACATATCTCCACATGAAAAACTGTGCCTGCTTATGCTGTTTTAATTGCTCACTTCTCATTACATAGTGTAATGTAAGGTAAGGCTATCCCTGTCACAGGCTGTGGAGGCCCATTTCTCTTAGAGGATGGGTGGACCCAAGGGCTGTAGTGCAGCTGGAAGGATTAGGTCAACTGAAAAATCTCATGACATTGCAAATCAAACCCATGACCTTCTGGCTTGTAGAATAGTACCTCCACTATGTACCTCAAGCCTATATTACACAGTGTACATGATATTTAAAATACTGTCCCTATACCAGGCCATGAAGGCCCATAGGGGTGTGAGAGGTCAAGGCTCCCACATCTTCCAGACATTCAGCTCATAGATGGTGGTAAAGTTGTCAGCCTTACATGCTGGCCACCCTTTACCCCCCAGGAAAATTCCTGGTACTGATTTGTGTTAGAGGCTGAGTCAACCCCAGGGCCATAGTGTGGCTGGAGGGATTGGGTCAATTGAAAAATCCAGTGACCTCATCGGGATTCGAACCTGTGACCTTCCAGGTTGTAGCATAGTGCTTCAACCAACTATGCTGTCGCGTGCCCTAGAAGATGTTTGTGAATACATTAAAAGAGTTTTCAAATAATTAGCCTCTTTTACTTGTAGCTGAGCAGAGAGATACATACGTATATTTGTGGAACCATGGTTATGTTTAATTTTGTATTACGTAACAGTGCCTGCTATTGATGAAGGTTCAGAAATGTATTTTGNTGATTTCTTCATAGTCACCGCCGTGAAAGCCTCAAATCTTACATATTTTGAAACCTGTTACCAAAATTTCATAATTGGTAATGGCCTTGAATGGTCATGTGATTTGCTCTTCTTCATAGGTTTGTGGCTTGAAATGGTCTCCGGATAATCAGTACCTGGCTTCTGGGGGCAATGACAATCGCCTGTTTGTTTGGAACTTACATTCCCTGTCACCTGTCCAGAATTACACTGAGCATCTGGCAGCAGTGAAAGGTATATATGCATCTCTGTGTAATTGCTATTTGTAATTCATTGAAACGTAATTTTGAACAGTAAGTAACCTTATGTTTTTAAACATAAAAATTAGAATATACAGAAGTATAGTTTTGCCTGTGATTCTGTATGGGTGTGAAACTTGGTCTCTGACGTTAAGGGAGGAACATAGCCTGAGGGTGCTGAGAAGAATATTTCGATGGAAGGTTGGAGAAAACTGCATAATGAGGAGCTTCATAAGTTGTACTCTTCTCCTCCGAGTATAATTAGAATTATCAAGTCAAGGAAGATGAGGTGGGCAGGGCATGTAGCATGAATGGGGGGAGAAAGGGAATGCATATAGGATATTGGTGGGAAAGCCAGAAGGAAAGAGGCCACTGGGAAGACCAAGACATAGGTGGGTGGGCAGTATTAAAATGGATCTTAGAGACAGTAGGATGGTATGAATTGGATTTGATTGATCTGGCCCAGGATAGGGACCAGTGGAGGGCTCTTATTAACATAGTAATGAACCTTTGGGTTCCATAAAATGCTGTGAAATTCTTGAGTAGCTGCAGAATTGGCGGCTCCTTATGAAGGGCTCAGCTCCATTGTAAGTAAGTAAGATTAACCATTAAGTGGTCTCATGTATAGTCATCTGTGTTAATAGATATTGAATAACGTACGTTGTCTGAAATGGAGAGTACAACAGAACTGGAATTTGAATTTAAAAGAATTGCAGTTCAGTCTCATTGTAACAAGAATTATAACATTTGTATATTTTATTTTCTTGATGAGTATGGGTAAACCAACTTATTCTCTAGTCGCCCTTCCTGACTACATGTTTCAGCCATACACAGCCATCCTTAAGTGTCTTCTATCTATCGAAATATGTTGCACTGTATGTCAAACTTACATATTGCATAGGAATGTGATATTTCCTAATTAAAGTAAATTGACCTTAATAAAAATGAATTATCATCCCATTGTTTTCCTCGCTATCATTGTCCTGTCATTTAAAAGATATTTGCTTGAGTATCTCTTGTTTTGTATTTATTTGCACCGCATTCCCTTTGTAGAATGGTATTATGCATTTTTTTGTCCAGATCATAAGGACATTAATGTATAGTCCATTCGCGGAGACGAGACAGTTAGCGTAAACAAAGCAAGCCCGTCACCACAGCTGACAGCAAGGAGTGGACAATGCGCGCAGTTACTTCAGTGTACTCACTGCATTTGGACGCATGTTAACCTGTGTGGGAACTGCCCACATTCAGGCAAGTGTGACAACGCAAGCGTCATTGCTTAGCAACAACGAGTAAACAACGGTTGCTAGGCAAAAGTGAGTAAACAGCGGTTGCTAGGGAACTTATAAACATGGTGTCCGGCAACAGCAGTACCTATTACGTAACCGTTTTCTATATGTCCGACTCTAGGTTATATAAGAAGATACATTGAGTGGAGTTACAGTTACAATTCTAGTTCAGTCTGTTCATTATTGTTATTATTATTCTTCAATTCTTCAAACGCAAGTTCGTCTGTGTATACAGTGCAGCTGCAAATAAATACTACAGGACAGTTCAACTAGTGGTTGTCTCTTCATACGACATCCCACATTGGTGACCCCGACATGATTGGAAGCGCGTGTGGTGAAGATCATCAACGACTCCCACATTGGTGACCCCGACATGATTGGAAGCGCGTGTGGTGAAGATCATCGACGACTCCCACATTGGTGACCCCGACGTGATTGGAAGCCTGTGTGGTGAAGATCATCAACGACTCCCACATTGGTGACCCCTGCGTGATTGGAAGCCCGTGTGGTGAAGATCATCAATGACTCCCACATTGGTGACCCCGACATGATTGGAAGTGCGTGTGGTGAAGATCATCAACGACTCCCACATTGGTGACCCTGGGCCTAGATCCTGGCTTCAAAAATACTTTATTGATATTTGCTGGCTTTTCAATGCTTGGGCGGCCATCCATTTCGGGGGTTTCTTCCTCCTCCCCGGCAGTGTACGAGTATTCTTCGAAGTCGTCGGTTGAATACACAGATGCGGCATTCTCCTTGTCTCTTATGTATTCTGTAGCTGTCGATGGGGACACCTTTTCGTCCTTGCCGTCTATCCGTTTCCTCAAGCCAGTGTTCAGTTTGGGTTTAGTTTTAGTGAATTCAAGAATGCGATAATTGAAAATATGAGCACTCTTTCTAGACCGGTTTTGCGTCATGGGCCTAGATCCTGGCTTTCCTGATCGCTTCAACAGCTGAGCAACCATCTCCGCGGGGGGTGATGTGGGAACTGCCCACATTCAAGCAAGTGTGACAACGCAAGCGTCATTGCTTAGCGACGACGAGTAAACAATGGTTGCTAGGCAAAAGTGAGTAAACAGCGGTTGCTAAGGAACTTATAAACACGATGTCTGGCAACAGCAGTACCTATTATGTAACCGTTTTCTATATGTCCGACTCTAGGTTATATAAGAAGATACATTGAGTGGAGTTACGGTTACGGTTCTAGATTCTACAGTACTACAATTCTAGTTCAGTATGTTCATTATTGTTATTATTATTCTTCAATTCTTCAAACGCAAGTTCGTCTGTATATACAGTGCAGCTGCAAATAAATACTATAGGACAGTTCAACTAGTGGTTGTCTCTTCAGACAGAAGAGTGAACTTTGGACACCCCTGCAACGGAACATGCATCACGTGATTGCTGCATGATTTCATTCAAAGAGCGAAGGAGATACTGCGTGCATTTGTTTACGAGGACTCTATTGTCTCCGCGAATGGGCTGTAGTGATATCAGTTTTGTTATCTTTGGCTATAGGTTCTTCCACTTTGCCGGAGTAGTTGTGCTGTTAATAATCTGTATATGAAGCCCAAAGTATATTTGTCATGCATTATGTAACTTAGAGTGAAAAGTGTAAAAGGTAAAGTTGTCCCTGTGCTTAACTAATGAATTACTATGCCATGAAGATGCGTGATGGGATTGGATGTATTGATCCAACTTTTCTTGACCTCAGTACTAGTTGGAGGTGAGTGGTTAGCTTCATGCCCCAGCTGCTTTACCCCTGGGGAAAGGGTCCCCAGTATCTACTGGATTTTGAAACAAAATTTGTAGAGAGAAATGAAATATTTTTGTGACTAGTACACTTTCTCCGTAAGTCATGCAAGTTATGAGACAGTTCAACACAAAGGCAAACTTGTGCCAGAATTAATATGCTGTGCATATATTTCCCAGCTTGTTTGAGTTAGTTACCTTAAAAATATGAAAATGACAACATCGTCCACATCTTTAACATTGTCTGAACCAAGAAATTTGTTCTTCCTGTACTCACACCAGGTTGTTTTAAATCACATGTACATTGTGCTGTAGGCTGGTTCGAAATGCAGTAGAGTTCCCTTAAACTTTGTGTATACTGTAGCACCTTTTTTTTTTTTTTGAAACTATAAAACTGTCCTTTGCAACACTGACAGTTCTCAATCTTTAAATATTCTGAAAAATGGTTGGCTTCTGTCTCCATCGTTGGTCCATCAATCGGTGTGACATGGTCTTTTTTGTGAAACTGCTCAAAGCACGCAGATTCCAAATTGCCATTCTCAGTGTTGCTCATTTGTTTCTGTCAGTAGTCTTCCATCCTACTGAATAACTGATCATGTTGGTGTTTAGATTGACGAACAGTGGTGGAGTCCGTCCTTACTATCTTCCTCTTCCACTCTGATGAGCTACTAGCTTTACAGAGACACATTACTTCAAGCTTTATATTTATGCTTAAGCATTTGTGTGATTAAATTAAACATTCTTTAAACACAATTCTTCGGAATCACAGGTATATTTCAAACTCAACTAACCACATGAAACAGTGCATATTTAAACAAGCTACTGGCTTGGACAACAGTTCAGATGACATCACATGGTGGACATTTTTCATTGGTTCATATGTGGTTGGGAGCACTTGACCTTGAATCTTAAAACATTGTTCTCTGCAGTTACTGTAATGTTCTGAGGAGTCAATGAATGGTTTTTATGACATATTAGAATGGCTCTCCACATGCATGCTAAGCATGAATGTTGGTAAAAACTGGCCCTCGCACTGTGACCTTCAGTGATCTATTGTGCTTCCCCTTTGGATTCCTTTATTAATCCTACACTTCGAATGAAATGTTGGACTTTATTTATGGGGGCATCATAAAAGTCTCTTGGTACCTTGAAGAATTGACCCAGGTGGTGATATCTTCACAGGAGAGGAAGTGGCTGTGATGCATTTTATAACATATCTGCATTACAAGCTCATAAATTCACACAACACTGTCAAGATTGAAGATTCTTCCCAGAATTTTAACTGACTTCTTTCTGAATGTGGTGGACCAGTAAAAACTATTACACCACAACCCTAAACTGGTGCAGTAGAAGACTATTTCAAATTTCAATGATAGGTCTTACTACATTAACTCTGTAACAAAATAAAATTTTATGAGTCTCTTTTTTTATGCATTGACATTAATAAAGTTTTAAACCTGAAGCTGTCGGCTGCCCCAGATGCAGTAAACTCCCCAACATCTGGCATATATGGGGAATGGGGTCTGCTAATTACATGAAGGCTGCCAGCTATATGAGAAAACTGTTTGAGAAACTCAGTACAACAGTGTTATGGTCATGTCTGAGGGCTCTTCATAGGCAACAGTGAAAGATGTGATGGTGGGGGTGGCAGTGGAGGTGGATTTGGATGTGGTGGCAGCAGGTGGTGCAGTGGCTGCATGTGACACTCAGGCACTACTGAGGAGAATTCCAATTTACCTATGGGTTTAAGGTGTCAAATGCGTATACCAAAACATGATTATAAATTCATGTTACCTTTACTTTACTAGCACCTGCATGAGGTAGGACAACAGCTGGCACTCCTAGTGCTGGCTGGGCAAACTACTACATGGCAGGTGAACATAGCATGAATGTCAGATTTGTTTTTAATTATGAAAATGGTACATTTGAAATGTTGTGTTGGATGGGAATTCCAGATGCTTGGATACCAGATAATGGAAGGTTACAGTACTTTTCTGTGAGATTATCATATAATCCAGAAAATATTAAAGCATTTAATTGCCCTGTATTGTGTATAATACTGTATATGATTATGTGTTATATGGTATGTAACAGAATTCTTGAGCCATAAATTTAAGAGACCATAGTATCACGTGTTAAATGACTAGACATGGGGTTTGGATTGGTAATGGATTTATTCAGCTGTTAAAACTCGTAACTACAAGTAACTATAGCACTGCTGCTAAATCACACACACACTGTAGTTCACTGCATAATGCATTAAGCCTTCTTAGTCTGCCGTGTCTTCACCGGTTGACTGGTCACAGCTTTGAGCACCTAGATTTCCCATCTTTCATGTTCTATGGCTCAGGACCTCCCTGGCTGGTCTCACGCCAACCTCCTGTTCTTCTTTCTCTGCTGTCTCAAAATGCTCATGACTACACTTCACAAATCACAATCAGAGACTAGTGTTCCCGGTCACCGTCTTCACTGCATTGTTGGGTAACATCTTAAAAAGTTGATATTCCTGGACTCATGTCCGCTCAGGCTGGCAGCCAGCTCCCTCCAACCTCCTACTCTTCTAACTCAGCCATCTCCATACTGGTTTGCATGTTCTGTTGGTCCTTGTGATATCGCCTCAGGATGGACCCAACAGAAAACACAGATACCAGTCTTTCTCCCCTTGTTACATGATGTTACTGCTGTCACGGAGAGGTGTTTATTGCATCATTACATAGCAACAGGTGACATTTGTTGACGCAGTGTGATGAGTTCACTTGTTGCATCTAAGTGCGGCTATGGCCATATGACGTCCACTGAGCCACTGCCTAGCAACAGGTGTGTTTATAGAGCCATTCACATGTGACAGCCTTCTCTGTTGGCTTCACAATCTGGCTGTTAGCAGTCATGTGACAATAATATAATTATTAGAACTGCATGGTTTCTCAAACATAGAGTTTTTGTTCTTTGGGTCATTGGTTTTACAAAGTTGAAATGAAACAAAGTTCTGTGGGTTTATCTCAGTTGTAATTCCTGGCATCTAATATTCTCTTTACAGCCGCGCCCCCCCCCCCCCCAAGTACAGGTTAAACACCTCATATCTGGCACCCTCTGGACCTGAATAGAGCCTGATGACAATTTTCTGAACCAAATGTCAGTATATTACAGTATCAAAACATAAATAAATCATCATAGTATATTGTGATAGTATTTGTACACCATTTTAAAATGTTTGTACAACGGAAAAAGTAGAGGCAACATAAAGAAAAGATATATGACAAGTTACGGGTAAACGGTAAAGAAAGAGAAAGCAAAACACTGATATCCGCAGTGCACGCACTCTGTGCTGTAACATATATATGTAAACAAACAACTGTGAACCATGAACACTTAGCACTGGTTTGTTGGCAGGTAGTTGTCTGGCAGACCACAGGTGGTGCTGATGGATTTAAGAAGCCAGGCTTGTACAGTGCTGCTTAATGGTTAATTGGATGCAGTTTGATATATATTTGGTACATTAATACATTTTACTCTGCAGCTATTGCATGGTCCCCACACCATCACGGACTCTTGGCTAGTGGTGGTGGTACAGCTGATCGGTGTATTCGTTTTTGGAACACACTGACAGGACAACCAATGCAGTGTGTAGATACAGGTTCCCAAGTTTGTAATCTGGCATGGTCAAAACATTCCTCTGAGCTGGTAAGTTTCTTGCATATCAACGTAGACCTCAGTTTTATAGTAAAAATGGTATTTTTGATAAAAGAAATTTTCTCCCTTTTATGTTTGGAACAGGTGATGAAATTTATTTTTTAACATACAAAGTTAAACTTTAAAATATATTCCAGAGTTAATTAAATAAAACTACATTAAATGTAAACTTGGGTGTGATGCTATGATTCCTGCATGCCTTATTTGAATCGAAAATACTCTATTTTAGCTGAGAAATTCAGTACCTTATCCCTAAGCAAGCCTCGAGTTCTTTATACTGAAAAGGACCTATGAAACAGAAAATCCTTATATAGAGTTTCATTAAAATATTTTTCGTTTACTTTTTTGTGGTTTCTGTCAGCAATAAACAAACCTGTTAGTGAGCAAATGATTCGGATTTTTCATGTTTGGTATTTCTGTTTAAATCCAAGGCATGAGCAGTATGAATATGAACATAATAAAGAAGCGAATGGAAAATACTTTACATTAAGTTTGAAATACAAATTGGCATAGTTCTCATAATTATTATAATTCCTATTAATTTTCCCTTTATCATTTGGAGATCTCTGAAATATTACATCACAAACTGTATGTACCGAAAATAATTGTGTGGCATCTGAGAGGACGTGTTCATGTTGTTGAAATTGTAAGTGAATGCATGAAAAAGAGATATGAGAGAAGTAAGACAGGAAGTCAATAGGACAAACACTACTCACCTGCAGATGATTTTCTTCTTTTGCAGACAGTATGGTATTATGAGAGTAGAAATAAAAAGTTTCATGAGCACATACTTTATGGAAGCATGAACCCTCTGGATACTTTGTATCCGGCTATCCATAACAGCAAACTAAATAAAGGCTTGAAGTAATGCCATATGTTACTGTTTCATTGTGAAATTTAAGTTTCTGTTCATCATAAAAGTGTATTAGGTGAAGTATGAAGATACATTCCTAGTTTTTGAAGAAATGTAAACTTGAGTTGTGCACTGTATAACACAGCTGTCTGATGAGAATGTTTGTAATTCTAGTTGCTGTAACACACTGCTTCAAGAGTTATCTTCACCTCTTCCTAGAGAAATAACTTATATGCTTTCATTTCTGTTCCTGTTTTGTTCCTGACACTGTCAGCAATTACTGCCTTTTGTTTTATGGATTTTATCACTTCTAGATGTGAACTCTCAGTAGCTCTAGTACATCCCATCTGGAGGGCATGAAAGTGCAAAAGTACTGAAGGAAATATGCAACCATTGCAATTTGGATGGAACATGCACATGACAGTATTGCATTCACTTAACAGTATCAACAACATCAACACGTCCTCTCAGATGCCACATAATTATTTTCAGTACATATACACGGTGTGTCCAGGATCCGTTAGTACTAATTTTTTTAAATTTTGCCCTTCAGTGTCATCTGTTGGCTAGTTGTGGTGTTAAGATTCTTGAAGTTTCAGCTGTGGCTGTATATAATTTCAAAGCACAAGCATCGCTGAATTCTAACCTTCAATGTAACAGTACTGTTCTGACGCTTGTTAGAAAATGGCGGTCGAACAGAGAGCCAACATCAAATTTTTTTGAAGTTAGGCAGAACAGCTGGAGAAGCGTACAAAATGATAAAAAGTGTGTATGGTAGTGATTGTTTGAGTCGCTTGAACATTTTTCGATGGTATGCTGTATTTCATGACGGCAGGGAGTACATAAAAAGTGGCCGAAATCCTTGCATCAGACAGATGTGTTTCTGCAAGACTCATCGTGGAGCTTTTGGGAATATCAGAAAGTACTGTGCATAAAATTTTAACCGAGGATTTGGGCAAACAGAAGGTCTGTGCGCAGTTTGTACCGCATGCGCTGTCAGGTGATGAAAAACATGCCAGAGTGGAACACTGCAAAGACATGTTATGGTCGGCCCAAAGTGATACAAAATTTACAAAATTGATTGTTACTGGTGATGAGACATGGTGTTTTCAATAAGAGCCTCTCACAAAGCAGCAGAGTGCAGTGTGGTTGAGCCCAAAGAAGCCGAAACCAAAGAAAGTGCACATGCAAAAGAGTTGAGTAAAGACACTGCTGTTTCCTTTGATTCCAAAGGAATCATTCACAAGGAATTTCTGCCAGAAAGTCAAACAGTGAATTCTGATTATTATTTCGGAGTGTTCAATCATTTGTGGGCGAGAATTCTTCGAATTCGACCTGAATATCGAGAGGAAGGTTCCTGGTCGCTCCTCCACGGCAATGCACCACCCCACAAATCGAAGATCGTGCGCAATTTTTTGGCCAGAAAAGGGATCACAGTCTTTAATCATGCTCCATATTTGCCATATTTGGCTCCAGCAGATTTCTGGTTCCCGAAAGTTAAGTTGGCGATGAAAGGAGACCGTCACGACACCATCCAGGACACCCAGAGGGAATGTACCACAGTTTTAAATGTGATTCCACAAAAGGAGTACAGTGACTTTTCGAAAACTTTTCGATCGATTCCAGCTACATATTGATTCAGAAGGAGACTATTTTGAATAAGAAGCGTGAAATTTTGAAAATAATTCATGTCTTATAGTTTTAATGAACACAGTCCTAACAGAACCTGGACACACTGTGTAGTTTGTGAAGTAATATTTGAGAGTACATGACAGAATTATTGAGAATGTAGCTGCAGGCAATAATTCCATTATGGATGCAAAATAATTTTGTTGATGTTGGTAGGAAATCTCTTGTTAGTAGTAAGAACATTTGTAATAGAGATGGGGCACTGATATGGTATAAATGTAAACAGTAACAGATGTCCGTGTATGTTGCTCTGCATTCAAGTCTTAACTCACTCACATATGTTGATTATATATATATTGTGACATGTTGCGCAAAGCCAAGCCCCCCCCCCCACACCAGCAGTGACGCGGCGGGTGAGTCAGTGCTCCCCTCCCACCCCTCAGCGGTAACGTAACGCTCGCGTAATAGGCGAGTAATCACCCCGCATCCTGGCAGC